AGTATTGTGCAGTATTGTGTAGTATTGTGCAGTATTGTGTAGTATTGTGTATTGGGCATGTTTAAGCTGAGATGTGGCTGCAGAACGGCTCTCTTGTTTCTGCTCTGCCAAAGAGCAGCCAGCTGAGGCTGAAAGGAAATACAGCCATCTTTATAACTGCTTCAGCACAAAGGATGGATGGACCGTCAAATGAAACTTGAAAAAAGGCAAAGAGCTTGTGGAAGGCAAGCGTGGAGACAATGTGTCTCTTCATGGCTGTGCTGAGCAGCAGGCAATGTGTCTCGGTCCAACAGCAAAGGGACGTGTTTCCACATCCACTGTCAGAACTAGTGATGGTCTTTTAGAGAAGAAACGAACAAACAAAATATTTTTTCTCCTCAAATTCCTCCATCATCACCAGGAAATAAACATGTAGTTGCTGTTTTACCAGGGCTTTGGTTTTATTGGTTTTATTTCAAAGTCTCTAGATTTCAGGATGATGGATGGATGGATGGATGGATGGATGGTTGGATGGATGGATGGATGGATGGATGGATGGATGGATGGATGGATGAATGAATGGATGGATGGATTTCAGTGTGCAAATCCAAACTCTCATTGACTTCCACTGTGTCTGAGCTCAGAATGTTCCATTAAAAATAAAAGGGGCGTGTCTTTTTGTCTCATAGTTTGAGTTAAACTCTGTAAACACAGAACATTTGATATGTGCGACACTTTCTGTTGTTTTTCATGACTTTAAGTTTCTGCAGTTAGTCTGAGGCTTACTTTCTGGTCTCTGTGTCTGTCTGTCGTTCTGAAACCTGTTTTATTGTCTGGCTTCATGAAGAACGTTGTAGCAGCCGCTGTGTTGAAACCCGTCAAAATGTCTTCAAGCCTCTCGTTGTTCTTTGTCTTCTGATCAAAGATCGTCTTGGAGGGAAATTCTCCAGGTGATCGTCATTTCTCAGGTTTGTGTCGCTTTTAAAGAACATGCAACAAGTTTTAACATTTACACCATAAAAGGAGAAAGTTTAGTTTTCTTCAAGCTACTAAAGAGTTCTTTAAATGTAAAATGTGTTTATTGGAACAGGAATCACTTTGTTGGATAGTGTAGATTCTTATTGAGTGAAACCGGAGCCTGACGCTCCCGTGGCCTCCGGCATCACTCTTGTCCAGAAAACATTAATTATTCTCAGTGGCTTGTGTGTAAAGGTTTACTTAAACATTCCATGCTTCATAGCTCTGATGAAGGATTTCAGCAGCTTGCTGAGAAACTGCCTTGCAAAGACCATCCATCACTGGTCCATCACTGACGTGTGTGATCGGAGTGTGTAAAGAACTGGGTGGTTTAATGGGCTGAACAGCATGGTCCACAGTGGGAGCTGGCAAGGCACTATGCAGCCGTTGTGTAAGGTGCATATGTCTCTGTTTGATCCCCACTTTCTTCTGTTCCTAGAATGCTTTTAACTTCCTGAGTGCATTCATATTTTTGCAAAACGTCCATTTTTGCATCTGCCTCAGCCAAGGCGGTCTGTTCAGCTTCCACTTCTGCTTCTCGTAGCTTTTCTTGAGCTTGTCTCATTTTTTCTGTGCTTGCCAGTCTGCTTCTTCCTTTTCAATTGCCCACTTTTCCTGCAAAGCTGCAGCCTTAGCCTTTAATGATGCACACTCCATTTCTGCCTTTATTTGGATGGATGAAGATGTTGAAGAAACGCTTCCTCGTTGGGATCCACGACTGCTGCACCTTGTAGACTTTGACACAGCTGGCCTACTGTCTTCAGGTGCTACCTGTTTATCACACCTTTCAGCCAGTTCAGAACGTTTCAAACCTCTTTCATCCAGTCCTCACATTTCCAGAAAAATGTACTGATTGTCTCCATTTTAGGATCAAACCAGTTCTTTTGATCCTCCACAATCTCCTCAGTCATGTACTGCTTTAAACCTATGTTTAGGTCAGAAAACTCCGTACAGTTTACTGAAATCAACACGGTGGTAGTTTTTTTACCATGTCTGCATTTCCATCGTCGTCCATTAACTGCTACATTTTTTGTTTCATTGTAGTTAGCTGGGATAATTTGTGGAAGAGCACAAGGCTAAAGAAATCCATGCTTGCAGATAGTCTTTTCAGTCATTTTTATTTTCTGCTTTCCAGTATTCTGTTCATCCATAATGAGCGAGCTGTCCACACGTTATTTTACAAAGGTCAAAAAACATGTATGAGACAGCCTAAATCCACTGCACCTGCCGGTCGTCACAGGTTAGCTAGTAGCTGAAACACCCACCATGCGGTGATCTTTGTTAGCTGCTCTCCATGAACAGAAGCTTGTCACTTACAGCTTTCTCTTCTCCATCCTTCCCAGCATTGTTCTTGGTAAATGGACTGTACTTATACAGCGCCTTTCTATCGTATGAAGATTCTCAAAGCTCTTTACAAAAATCTGTGCGTCATTGACCCATTCATACAGCTCTATACTAGATCACCACAAAGATAATTGAACAAATCATTCTAAAGAGACTAATCAGAGCTTTAGATCACATTCATACACTGATGGGACACACATCGGAGGCTATGAGGGGTTCAGTGTCTTGCCCAGGGACACTTCAGCATGTGACTGCTGGAGGATTCGAACCCAACTCTTGCATTGGAGGACGACTGCTCTAACCACTCAGCCACAGCCGCATCTAAACATCCAAAACATGTCCAGTCCGTTTGTTTAAAGTCCAGTATCCATGTGAAGCACGTTTTTTGACGAAAATGTAGATCCTTATTGAGTGAAACCGGAGCCTGACGCTCCCGTGGCCTCCGACATCATTCTTGTCCAGAAAAAAATAATTATTCTCAGTGGCTTGTGTGTAAAGGTTTACTTAAAAATGAAACATGTGCAGCATAAAAGTAAGCAAAAACAACTTATCCACAATCCAACAATTTTCAGTCAGCTCATCTGGACAGTTTATTTTTGTGCTGAAACGTTTCACCTTCCATCCAGAAGGCTTCATCAGTCAAAGAAGCACACAACACAAAACTGATTCTTCCCCCAAACAGCTTATTCCAAAGTGGAACAAATCAGTTATGTTGGTGCTAAGATGGTGTCTTTGGCACGCCCCTCCTTTGGAGCTGGCCCTCTTCCTCGTCGACAGTCATGTCAAACTGGTTCAAAACCAAAAAAGTCCATGCACAATAATCCAGGTATACAATCCAACAATTTTCAGTCAGGTCATCTGGACAGTTTCTTTTCTGACAGAGGAGGGGGCGTGCCAAAGACACCATCTTAGCACCAACATAACTGGTTTGTTCCACTTTGGAGTAAGTTGTTTGGAGGAAGAATCAGTTTTGTGTTGTGTGTTTTCTTGACTGATGAAGCCTTCTGGATGGAAGGTGAAACGTTTCAGCAAAAAAAGAAACTGTCCAGATGACCTGACTGAAAAATGTTGGATTGTATACCTGGATTATGGAGCATGGATTTATCCACAAGTTGGTAATTAAACAGAAAAAGAGCTATGGAGGTAAAAAAACTGTTTGGCTTCACTCTCCATCTAGTCTGTCTGGAACTTTCTCTCCTGCCACGCCCCACCCACATCACATGACTTAAACATGTGACCAACCTCAAACCAACAAAGATCTACACATAAAGCAAATAGCTTCAGTTATGCATATAAAGTTTATAAAACTGAGTTTAGGCTCCTACAGACAGTGTGAAATGGTTAAGA